GGGGCTACAGGAAAACCCTGTTTCAAAAAGACCAAAAATAAATAAATAAATTAAATAAATAGATGATAGATAGATAGATAGATAGATAGATAGATAGATAGATAGATAGATAGAACCGAACCACCCTAGGGGCTGGAGAAATGGCTTAGCAGTTAAAAACACTGACTGTTCTTGAAGAAGACCCAGGTTTGAATCCCAGCACCTATATGGCAGCTAACAACTGTCTATAACTCCAGTTCCAGGGGATCTGACAGTCTCTTCTGTCCTCTGCAGGCATTGCATGACCCGAGTGCACTTACCTACATGCAGGCAATACATGCATACACATAAAATAAAATAAATAAATAGAATATTAAAAAAAGAGAACCAACCTAAATTACATAAAAAATGCTGAACTATATAATTCAGCAGAAAGATTTGCAAACAAAATTGAGGCAATCTCCCAGGACACAGAGCAAAAGAGACAGAAAACATGAGATAGAAATAAGCCATATAAGGCTGGTGATGTAGCTCAGCTGGTAGAATGCTAGCATGCAGGAAGCCCTAGGTTTGATCCCTAGTATCATATAAACCTGGCATGGTGGCACTCCCATGCACTTAGCACTCAGGAGGTAGAGGGAGGAGGGCCAGAAGTTCAAGGTGAAAAAAAAACTAGACCATTTCATAGTATTTAAGAGTTAGAGCAGGAAATAAGAACTGAAAAGGCAAGAGAAGGAAAATAAAAATTATATTAAAACTGTAAGAATAAAGGGCTAGAGAGATGGCTCTGCGGTTAAGACCACTGGTTGCTCTTGCAGAAGACCCAGGTTTGAGTCCCAGCACCCACATGGCGGATAACCACTGTCTATAACTCCAGTTCCAAGGGACCTGACACCCTCCTCTGACCTCTATGGGCACTGCACATCATGGGTGCACTTAAACACACGCAGGCAATACATTCATACACATAAAATAAAAATAATAAATTTTTTTTAAAAAATGTAAGAATAAAGTAGAAATTAGGTGAACTTTTTTTTTTTGGTCTTTTTGAGACATGGGCTCTCTGTAGCCCCAGCTCTCCTGGAACTCACTGTGTAGACCAGGCTGGCCTTGAACTCACAGAGATCTACCTGCCTCTGCCTCCTGAGTGCTGGGATTAAAGGCGTGTGCCATGACACGTGGCTAGGTGAACTTTAAAAAAATTTTTTTAAATTATTTTTATTTTATATGCATGCATGTATTGCCTGCATGTAGGTAAGCGCACCCGTGTCGTGCAATGCCTGCAGAGGACAGAAGACACTGTCAGATCCCCTGGAACTGGAATTACAGACAGGTGTTAGCTGCCATGTGGGTGCTGGGATTCGAACCCAGGTCTTCTACAAGAACAGTCAGTGTTCTTAACCATGAACCATCTCTCCAGCCCCTCCTTTTTTTTTTTAAAAGACAGGGTCTTCCCTGTAGTCCCAGCTGCCCTGGAATGTGCTATGTAGGCCAGGCCCAGCTCAAACTCACAGAGATCCACCTGCCTGTCTACTGAGTGCTGGAATAAAAGGGATGTGCCATCACACCTGGCTTGAACCTTCATTTAAAAAAATTTTTTATTTATTATTTTTATGTGTATGTGTGTATTGCCTGCATGTATGTAAGTACTCCCATGTCGTGCAATGCCCACAGAGGACAGAAGAGGGTGTCAGATACCCTAGAACTAGAGTTACAGACAGTTGTTAGCTGCCATCTGGGTCCTGGGATTAGAACCCAGGTCTTCTACAAGAACAGCCAGTGTTCTTAACCGCTGAGCCATCTCTCCAGCCCTTGAACCTTCATTTTAAAACATATGTAACAGGGCTGGGGTGGTGTTGCACACCTTTAGTCCCAGCACTTGGGAGGCAGAGCAGACGGATCTCTGTGAGTTCAAGGCCAGCCTGGTCTACATAGTGAGTTTCAGGCCAGCTGGGGCTACAGGGAGACCCTGTCTCAAAAAGATAAAAAAAAAAAGGTAACAGAAACAAAAGACATCTGGGTAGAGGAAGTAGATGAGGCAAAGGTCCTGGGCACCCTGGTATGTATGTGGGAGGGGCAAAGTGGAGATCCTGTTGACTGAGCCTTTTAGCACATGGGCCCTGTGGGAAAGGGACTGTTACCACAGACAGCCACAGACCTTCCATGGCCCTGGGCTGTCAAAGGGAAACAACTCCTGCCCCTAGTTAAAAATAATTCTGAGGGCTGGAGAGATGGCTCAGCTGTTAAGAGCACTGACTGCTCTTGCAGAGGACCAGGGTTCAATTCCCAGCACCCACATGGTGGCTACAAAACGTCCTTAACTCCAGTTCCAGGGGAATCCGAAGCCCTCTTCTGACCCCTGTGGCACTGCACGACATGGGTGCACTCACATACATGCAGTCAATACACTCATACACATAAAATAATAAAAATAGCCGGGTGTGGTGGTGCAAGCCTTTAATCCCAGCACTCGGGAGGCAGAGGCAGGCGGATCTCTGTTGAGTTCAAGGCCAGCCTGGTCTA